AGCATCAAAAAGCTAACTAAAACACCATGTTTCAGATGAATAAGGAAGGAAAAAATGAGAGTGATCTTCTGGTTTCTACAATTTTCTCAGTTGCCAAAGTGCCATATTTTGTGACATCATGTTTTGAGCCCTGATATAGTAAATCCCAGAAGCCCACAAACTGTGGTAGGCCCAAGAAATTACAGGGTAGAAATATAGAGCTCTAGGCATCTCACACAACCACAGTGCTGATTTGTCTTTGCAAAAAAGGCAAATAAGGAACTCTGAGTACAGCTGTCAATCACTGGTTTATATGTAAGAGGACTTACAGTACAGTCTGAATTTTAAATGTTTTTTTTTTCCTCCAGCTGTTTATATGCTCTAAGATCAGCCCTTCCCAGATTTAGGACAGATACTAGAGTTTATGGTTATTTTCACATATTGAAACCAAAACTTCATAAACACTATGTAGCTGACATTCTGTTTTCTCCCCAGGCTCATAATGACAGAGGAGCTTGGGGAAGAGCATGGATTTGGACTTGCCTCCCCACCACCAGTATTTAGGATCCCAAGGGATGGTTAAAGAATGATGACTGCCCATTGTTGGCTCTGTGTGCTTCTACCTGCACTAATGGCCTCCACCAGCATGGTTATCTTCCATACACAGTTTTTATTTCCTTATAACTGTGTTTATCTTCAGACCCTATCCCTTATGTTATCCAAGGATCTTTTGAAGACCAAGATTTTAGTCTTTCTCTCACAACATAGGGTCCTCAACTGCCTTTCTCATTTCGTTGCTCATCTGCCACATTTCTTGTCCCACAGCTCATTCTTTCTTTTCTATGATCCATGCTATTTAGAGCCCAGACCATTGAGTTCTTGACCAGTTGCTGTTAAAGATCCCTTCTTCCCAGCATCATTTCATTACTAGACCTAATTATTTTGCAAAGAAGCTGTACAATAACTCCAATGCCACCTTCAGAATTCTGTACCTATTTTACTAGGGTCATGTTTTTCTCCGACAGTTGAGGGGAAGAACTTGTGCCCCCAAAATTTCTGTACATACTCTGCTCCATACAAATGACAGCACTAAGACAGTCTAGTGATACTTGTTCAGCAAGTAACTACCTGAGAGTGAAATGCCCCTCTTGCCTTCTCTCACTTAGCTCCTTGTTTAGCTTGTGATGAAGGAAAGAAGCTATTTACTTGTGTCTAACCCATAGCAAGTAGGAACAGCTACTCCACTAACTCTGCATTCCTCATCATAAGAAGACCTTATGTAAATTCTCATCTACAACAAACCATGTCTTATATGTTCTGAATTCTAGGCACCTTTTGGAAAGTCCTGGTGCTGGTACAAGTGCCTGATTATTTCACTAAAGTTTGTTTATTAAAAAAAAGAGAGATTAGTGTATGATTGTGTTATCATCTTTGATTGGATCCTTCAGTCACCATGAACCACCAAACATTTCTATATTGTTTTTGTTCTATTGTGACATCCAAAGAATTTCCTCAATTCCCAAGACCTGTGGAACAGCACATATATCATTTCACTAAATTATTTCACCTAATTTGATATTTTAAAATATTTTCAATAATCTAATTTAAAATCCTCCTAAAATATTTCTATTTAAATCTCATAATTCTGCCATAATTTTCATAATTAAACTTGCTAGTCAATTTTTGTCATTCATTTGGTCATTTCACTCAAGCAGCATACAGGTCTGTCTGATGAAGTAGTGTTTTCAGCTGAGATAAGAATGAGAAATAAGCATCCAAAGTTGCCAGAATATTAATAGAAGAAGAAGAGAAGCAGTTATTGAGGCTTTGCTGTGTGAAAAACCGTGTGATACATTATTGTAAGAAATGGCAAAGGGCCAATATCACCATGTGCATTTACAGAGGGAGATACTCATATTGGGATCTTAGAGAACCTGCTAAAGGATTTTGTTTATATGCACAGTGCAATGGAAAGGCATTGAAGAATTTAAACAGGGAATGAAATGAAATGATTAAATTTTTAAAGACCACTTTGATTTCTTAGAACAAAACAAATTGTAAGACAGAAACGGTGAAAGTGGCAAGATAATTAAGAGTCTATTACAGTTGGCATACAAATATGTTTATTAGGTCAGGGGTGTTGGCATTGGAAATGGAGAAGTGGTGCTATGGACTGAAACATGTGCCCTCCAAATTCATATGTTGAAACTTTAAAAGCCTATAAGATTCTATTTGGGCTTGTAAAAGTTAACTGAGATTATTGTGTGGGACCCAAATCCAGTAACATTGATATTCTTAGAAGGGGAAGAGCCACCCAACTGCAGTGCTTGCTCTCTCTTCCTCAATCTGTGTGTGTGTGTGTCTGTGTGTGTGTGTGTGTGTGTGTGATCATGTAAGGACACAGCAAAAAGGTGGCCATCTGTGAGCCAGGGAGAACAACACCCTTATTAGAAACTGATCATGCTGGCAACTTGATCATGGTCTTCCCAGGCTCCTGAACAGTGAGGAAAACACTCCTCTTGTTTAAACTACTGCCTGGCCTTTGTCTATGGAATTCTGTTATAACAGCCCAAGTGGAATGGGAAAGATGGATATTCAGAGAATTGTTTTACAGATGGTTCCACAATAAGGTTTGTTCAGGAAATGCATATGAGAAATGGAAGAGAGGAATCAACGATAACATGTAGTTTGGTCTTACTGTTTATTTTTGTTTGATCCCCTGGGAAAACACTGACACTATTCATTGATAAATTAAAACAACATAATGGGATAAAATAAAATAAAACCTTGCTGACACAAAAGGAATGACTGTATGATTCCACTTTGGACATAGCTGCTTGGATATCTCTGAGACAAGCAAGTGGAAGTGCCAAGTTAATGTTTGGATACACAAGTTTGAATCCTGGAAGAGAGGTCTAGGCTGAGTTGTAAATATTGAGGTTGTTAGTATTCTGATCACATGTACATAACAGGAGCAAATTGAGACCATCCACTGAATGTACAAAGAGAGATGAAAGCTAACATTTGAATAGAAATTTAAAGAGAAGGTAGATAAACAATGAAGTAGGAGGAGGAAAAGGAGAATCCAAGAAAAGAATCTACTAAATAATGCATCTAAGGAAAAAAAATTGTAATTTTTACAATACCAATTTTGGAGGAGCTGTAGAAATAAGAAGCATTTTACAGTTAATAGAGTGTAAATTATGGAAAGTAAATAACATGTATCAGAGGATATATTTTATATTATTTTACAGTGAAGGGAAGCAAAACTGAGGTATGCTGAATACAGATGTGGATCAAATGCTGATTTTTAAAATTCTTTTGTAATTTTATTTATTCATTTATTTACTTTTTAACTATTTGAAAGATAGATGATTTGAGAAGATGTTATATTAAGAGAGAAATAATCAAGAAATTAGGAAAGTGATTGATGTTTCAAGGGGGTGAATAAATTAGTGACATCCTTAAAAAAAAGACATAAGAGATATGATCCAGACTGCTATGCAAGTATTGATTTGATAAGTGGAGACCAACTTTCTCCATTTTAATTCTAAGAATATAAAGCTATTTGTAATTATGAGAAGGCTTATAGATTTCATGTTAGAAATTAATTAAATACTTTGATTATTTAATTGCCTATCTTTTGAGGGGAATGATGAATTTCATTTTTCTTCTTTTTCTTGTTTAATATTTCAATGTTTGATTAGAACCTCCTGCTAACATTACAGTTTAAATAACAGTAAAATTTAAAAAAAAATATAGATTTACCTAAAATTCATAAACCATTGCTGCTGATATTTTATTATCATGTTTCATCTTGTGGTAAAATTTGGATGTCTATTAATGGATCCCAGGCCCAATAGAAGCCTTCTTCTAAGCCTAACATTACTTGAAGGGCCAATTGGAGAAAACCTTTTCTTTTACAAAAAAAAAAAAAAAAAAAAAAATTGAACCTATACATAACATAATAAAACTTTACATATTAATGGAGGACTTTTTTTAAAAAAGCAACTCTTCTTAAATCATATTTATGAAATAAAAATGACTTTAGTAATAGTCTAAAGCTGTTATTGAAATTCCATATAGCAATAACTATTACTTTTCCTTAAGAAACTTACAGTATATATGTAATATATATATGTAATATGAATGTGTATGTGTAAGTAGTAGTAGGATGTGTGTATGTGTAAGTGTGTATGTGTGTGTGTGTGTGTACACACATCTCTTAGTATTCCACTTTGGAAGGTTGGTTTCAAGACCCCTCATGGGTTCCAAATTCTGCAGATGTTCAAGCCCTTTATATAAAATGGCATAGCATTTGCATATAACCTATACGTATCCTCCTGTGTACTTTAAATCATCCTAGATTATTTATAATACCTAATACAATATAAAGTCTGTGACATTTGTTACACTGACAAGTAAAATTTATGTTCATATTCAGTACAGATGAGATTTACCTCTAATATCTTCAATCATTAGTTGGTTGAACCCACAGATGTATAATCTATGAATATAGAAGGCCAACTCTGTGTGTGTGTGTGTGTGTGTGTGTGTGTGTCTGTGTATGTGTGTATGTGCATCTTTGGCCATACAATAAAATTTTATAGAAATAAATGTCTTGTGGATACTTTACATAATTCTTAACCTCAGCTGCATAGTAAATCCCAGAACATTAAGAAATATATAATATGTCTTCCAAGAGTTGTCATTGAAAATTTTGGATACCAAATATGTATTAAATAGCAATTATGTTAACTACAAAAAATTAGATTGTCTAATAAAATGACATTATTGCAATTACATCTTACCGCCATGATTCCAAAGCTACCAGTATATTATGATTTTCCAAAGTAGCATTTCTTGCCAAATGTAAGTATGCTAATTCTAGATTTTGCATATATGTAATATTTTCTTGAAACATATAATATCTGAATATTTGTCAAATTTTCAATTATTTCGTATACATTATTATTGCATTCTTGATAGTAACTGTTAAACAATGATTTCTCTTTTTCCAGATTTGGCAATGTGGAGGCTCTTTGGAGATTGTAACTTGCTCCCACGTTGGTCATGTTTTTCGGAAGGCAACCCCTTATACTTTCCCTGGTGGCACTGGTCATGTCATTAACAAGAACAATAGGAGACTGGCAGAAGTTTGGATGGATGAATTTAAAGATTTCTTCTATATCATATCCCCAGGTATGCAATTCTTACATTTTTCTTCTTCTACAAGCAACACAAAAACTTAAACATGCTCAATGTGTGTTTCACTATTCCTATTTTTCTACTACTTTAAATAAAATAGTGTTTATTACCATATGTTGCAGAAAAAATGTCTTGGAAAGTTGTACTACACAATTTAATTTAAAATGAGAAAGTTAATATCTCTATATTCTCCTTTATTTCCCTCAATCCAAATAAAGCAAGCAGTACATAGAGATATCCAAATTTAATTGACATTTATCAGGTTAATTTAAGAGTAAAAATTTGCTGAGAGTGGTGGTGCATGCCTGTAATCTCAGTGGCTCTGGTGCCTGAGGTAGGAGGATCGCAAGTTTGAAGCTAGCCTCAGCAATTTAGTGAGGCCCTAAGCAACTCAGCAAGACCATGCCTCTAAATAAAACATAAAAGGGGGGTGGGGTGGGGATGTGGCTAAGTGGTTATCCCCTGGTTCAATGCCCAGTACCAAAAAAAAAGAAAAAAGAAATGAGTAAAAATGTTTGTGTTTAAGCAAAGATGGTTTCATAATGCCTTATTTTTTTAAAATCTGATTAAGGAAGGATGATATATTTTTCTAGAAACAAGACAGAATATGTCTTAAACATTAAAATTTATGTTTTGGAAGAATAATAGCATAGTAAAACTAATAATAGAATGGAATTATTACTATATTAATTCTTTGTAATTTTATAGTTTTTATTTAATAGCCACATTACATATTTCCAAAAAAGCTATAAAACTAAGGCATTAAAAAAAGAAACAATGTAAAGATAGAAGAGAAACTTATACAAGAGAAAGGTTGCCTGTCAAATTTCCAAGTGTAGACAAGGAGATAAAGGATAAATTGCAGAAATTCAACTATATTTATAACATAGTTGTAAGCATTTTGTTTTCAATGGTTTAATATGTAGGCTTAGTGGTCATCAGTGTTATTATATAACCCATATGCTATGGTTTGGATGTGAGGTATCCCCCAAAAGCTCAGATATAAGATAATTCAAGCAGGTTTGGAAAAGAAATAATTGGGTTATAGCCCTAACTAATCAGTGAATTATTCTTAATGGGATTAACTGAGGGGTAACTAGAGGGGAGTGTGCTGTGGCTGGAGAAAGTGATTCACTGGGGGCGTGGCTCTGGGGTATATATTTTGAATTGGGAGAGTGGAGTGGAGTATTTCTCTGCTTTCTGATCACCACATGAGCTGCTTCCCACTGCCACACTCTTCTGTGATGATGTTCTGCCTCAACTGGAGCTCCGAGGAATGGAGCCTGCTGTCCATAGACTGAGACCTCTGAGACCATGAGCCTGGAAATAAACTTTCCCTCCCCTAAAATTGATCTTGTCAGATCTTTTAGTCATAGAAATGCAAAACTGACTAAAATACTATAACAACAACAAAAAATACCCATGCCTATACCTTGTTTTCTCTAATATAATCTACTACATGACTTAGAAAAGTCAATTTGGATTCTAATTTACATGATATCATTTCTGAAGTCATGTATAAGGCAATTAAATTCTTCTTTTATAAATAAATATGAAGAAAACAATATGAGCTTTCACAATAGGACCCAGAATTCTATGCAAGTAAGGAAAATTAGGCCATTATATGTGTAAATGTTTGATTAGAAGGACTTTTTCAAATGCTTTCAGGCCTCTTCTATATCAAGAAGTTATTGCCAAGAACATAGCTTCACGAATAGACATGATGTTCTTTACAGCAGAAATATAGACCAGATGTTCAAGGAGCTAAGTTCAGTAAGAACATGTTAAATTTTTACCAAGGCAGTGACATTTATGTAACCTTTTCATTTTCTTTTGATGATACTTTTTGAATTCAAGTCATCCCTTACAGAAATAATATAAGCTCAAATATGAATAAGGAAGTGGAGTAATGGAGGAAGGACATGTGTTACTTGTGATTATATACAACTTACATTTAGGAATACCAGTGATTGAGAATAATTGTGGATATATGCATTATATTCCTCTACAATGAATATTACTGTGAAAAATTATATCAGTATAGGGTTAAAGGGGATTTCCAACTCTACCCTCTGAAGATTTGCTGGAATGAACTGACCAAAAAAAAAAAAAAACAGATTAAATAAGAGAAAAGCCTTGGAAATTTATTAACTTGCAAAAGGGGAAAAAAATCAGCATGATAAGTGGGATCCAGGAGAGTTATTACCTATTAGGACCACATGATTTACAAACTTATGTACCCTTTTTCTAGACATGATGGGGAAAATGAGGACAGTTGGGGGACAGTAAGTGACTTTTAGGGGAACTCAATGAGTTTAGCGAACACAGAATGGCCTGGGAGAAAGTTTGTTGGGCCTGCACAAGGCACAGTGGATTATCTACAGGACTGAAAGAGAAGTGTGTTTTGTGACAAGTCTGTCCAGATGTGTTGATGATGAAGAGTCTTTAATCTTTCTTTCTGCAATATGAGTTCAGTTGACAAAGCTCAGGAAAAGACCATAGTTATTCGTTTCTTCTTTGGCAGGAATAGAACATAAGGGAACTTCGTAGAAGTTCTCCCTGTCTTAGCAGAGGGGCTGGGACGGCAAGTACAAGACAAAGTTACAGAAACCTTGATTCTGAGCTGTTTTCTAAGGCCTTTTAATTTCATTTACATCAACTTGCTCAGCATACCATTGTTGTAGGGACAGATGAGGCAAGGCTCCAAAGATAGCGGGAAAGAGTTTTATTTGGCTGCAGCCAGGTTCAGAGGGCCCAGCTTTTGCTGTAATCAATCCCCTGAACCCAGAGTTCAGGTAGTTTCAGAATTTTATACCCAGCATGTAAGGGAGGGGCTCAGAAGTTCACAGTCTGCAGAAGTTCACATAAAAGCAGCTTTTTCTTTCACTGTTCTGGGCAAGATAACCCTTCAAGGACAACACCTGAGAAGGGGAGAGCTTTTTATCCCCTTTATTTTCCTCCCCCTGCCAGCTGTTACTATGGAGCCCAGTTGGTGACTTCTCTTATCTTAGAAATGTAGACATCTCTATGAAGTCCCAGCTCAAGGCCAGAGGCCTTGTTTACACATTTCTACAAACTATTATACTGGATAAATGTTTGTGAAAAATTTAGTAAGGGGGTGTCCAGCACCTGGAATGCTGATTTTTTCTAGGCTAGCGGCAAAGTAAAATAGGGCAGCAACATGAAAATATAAGTTTATCTACATTGAACTCTTTTGTAGAGACTCTTTTGCTGACAGTCCTAAAATCAGCCATGGGGAAGATTTCTGGAGAAGCCCAGTTAAGATTTTTTGTGCAGGAAGTGGGTGCTACTATTCCACAATACCTCCTTATATGGAGGGTATTGTTCTCTGAGCCCCAACATTCATCTGTTACATAATTTTTCATTGAGTTAAAAAGACATATAAATGAATCATTTCTGAAACTATGATGGAACGGCAGCTTTTAGAGTTTAAATGGTGTCTGAAACTAGTAACTTTGTTTTTCTCAGCAGAGATGGTTTGTGTATGCTGAAAAGGATAATGTTTATAGTATAATGAATATCATGAGGAAGGTCATTATTCTAAAATGGGCTCTCTTAATCCAGAAGGTATTTTAGAAAACAGAAAAATGGCGCTTGGGGAATGTGCTGAAAATATCCAGGAACATCCTTTGGGGCATTTATGCTTGTATCTAAGACAGCATTCCTGAATGTGATGGAATTAGCCTGTTCCAGAGTGGGCAAAAGGGAAAAACAAAAGCATGAAACAGTGCATTGCTTCTCAGTGGAAAAGAGTAAAAGTAGGCCAGAACCTAGAGCTGGATGCCTAAAAACAATTCTAGCCGGAGGCAGGTTTCAGGTCATTCAAAAACAGATAAAGTGGGTTATTCAGGTTGTCAGGAATCTGTCATTTTTTATGAGAAAAAAAAAATTGCCACGATTTATTTAGGCTATAGATTCTGATATTTTCTGTAACTTAAAATGAAAATTATACATTTCTTTGCTATTCCCTAGAATTTTCCAGTTTCTAATTTTGCATTTCCTTGGGTCATGAATAAGTTTGTGAAGAGAGAAGTTGGTGGGTATATGGTGAGGGGGACATAAAGACCTTCACAGTGACACTTAGAATCGTACCCTTTACTATAATATGCACACAAACTTGTATGGTTGTGAAAAACTCGAAAGAGTGTAAAAGATTTTATATTGAGTCCCTAAAACCTGCTTAGCATTTTGACCAAGGAAATTGTTATGTTTCTTTCTGGAAGAACATCTGGGTATCTGTTAATTTTCTATTATATTTTGTAAGGAGATTCTGCTTTTTTTATTCTAGGACTTCAATTACCAAATTTTATTCTCCACTTACACAGTTGCCCAAAACTCAGTGTCTAAGTACTAGACCTTTGTGAACTGAATTATGATAACAACTCTGCTTCTTTCCAGTGCCTTTGAACAAATAATACCTGTCCACTTTATTGATTGGTTTTGTGGATGTATCAGGTTTCCCATTACATGGGTATTCTTTCCTTCCAAAAGTATATTCTCTAAAGTTTGATGCCAGGGCAAGCATTGTTATCACTTGCCATACTGTCTTAATTTTTATCATTTGGGTCTTTATCTGCTCAGAGATCCATATTTCAGTAGATAGCAGCTTTCCTGTCACTTTATAGTCCTTAAAAAAGTTGTTGAATGATTAGAATTAATAAATTAATAAATGAATGAAGGAAAAAAGCCGTTGTCCTACCATCTGATCCAGCCCTGGTTAAGGACCCACTGATAAAAGAGAGCAAAAGAGTTCTTTTCATATGTCAGGAATGTCATTCTTCTGAATTGACCATCAGAAAAGAAAGCCCTACTGACTTACCTATATGCTTAGGGTTTGACACTTTTAATCTTAGGTGTGCATTGTAATAAAATTTTGCTCTCCAGGGTTAATACCATAATATGATTTAGGCAGACAATAAAATTATCTAATGGAGGAACATGATGCAAAAGTTCCTAAATATCAAATACTTCTG